AAAATCTATTAAATTAAAACCTGCAATAAGGATAATATATGTATTATTGAGTAAAGCTGTGTTTTATGCGAGAAATGTTGAATTTGTGGACTTCAAAAAAAAAAAAAACTCGCAGACTTTTGGATTATCTTCATTCAATGAAAGGTTTAGTTCTTTATATGGGGTGAGAAAGGCATCTCCTGACAAAACAAAACAGAGAAAAATGAGTATCAACTTTAAAAAACAAAACAGTTTTGACTTACAGCATAATAAAAAACTATTTGTAATGCTCATTCTGAATAACCAATATTAAAAAAAATCTCTATTGGCAACTCTAATCAAACTTGTTATAATCCTAAACAGGTTTTGTAATTGTTTTCAAAATTGTCTGATTTATTGACTGTAAAGCCGGAGGTCTCTATGTACCCAACAGAGCATTAATACATTCAGCTAAGAAAAAACATGTTTGTAAAATCTCTTTACAGTAGGATTACTCTAGCAATTTGCCAGGAGATTGAAGAGATTTGGCCAAATGTTTGCTCAAAAGATTCTGATTTTACTTAAAAAAGAATTATTAAATGCAGGACGGTTTTGCACAAAGTAAAACAAATTATCATTTTGTTCTAAAATTGATTAAAGATCATAATGAAGCAGTTTGGGAAGGCTGATTGGAGAAGGAAAGCCGCAAAGAATTTTCCAATAGGCTGTATTCTAAATGGTTCGACCATTTCCTTTATTCTCAGTCTAGCTGGACTGATGGCTGCAAGACAGAATATTCTGGCTGATGGAAAGAAAACTGTTCAGTCTGCAGCAAAAAATCAGGTTAAAATGTCCAGCACCCTTGTAGTAGAATGTGTCATGGTCAAAAGAACCAAATATTAACTTTTGTTTAACAATGAAACACGGAGGTAGGCGAATCATCCTACGGGATTTATTTTCTTCAGATAAAACTAAGGTTATTAATCAAGGTAAATTAAGCCATTAAAAGGAAAATATACCAGTCATTTTAGGCTTCACCCTTCAGCTAGAAACCAAAGGAAGGATTTAATTTTTTTATTTCCACATTAACAATCAGGCTACGCATAAATCAATTTGAAAAACAGAATGACTCCACAGGAGGAAAGTAAAATGGTCCAGAATAAATCTAATAGATTTAAATTAAATTGCAATGTTTTTAAAGGCTTTATAATGGTGTTATTTATTCACAGCACTGATATCTGGCATTTTACACAGGGCTGTGTGTATAACGGTGCAAAACAACTTCCTTTATTTGTCTATTTCTTTTAATCACGTGACAAAAATACAGGCAGGTCCAACAGGTGTTGAGAGTAAAAATACTACTTTATTTATTATTTCATGGCATATGTGCTACGGTGCTCAATAGAAACAGTTAAAACTGAATGTCGTTAGATTATGTTAATGTTCTTGTTAGAGCTGCTTATCGCCGTTTCTCTCTGTGACCTGATGTGACTCGGTGAACAGCAGCTGTCAGGAGTTAAAGCACGTTGTAAACCACATAACCTTGCGTTCACCTTGCGATTAGCAGCGGATTAAGGCTCGTTATCAGACACCGCCTGACTAATGCTGACTGCAGTCAATCATGCCAATGGGTGACATGTTTAATACTGGAACTTAAAAAGTATAAATAACATTTTCTTACCCGGAGCCTGGTTACAGTCAGACAGTAGGACGCCATTTTGTAGTTCCTTCGTCACGGAGTGTCCCATTTTTATTACGTCATCATTACCTGAGTAAAACAAAAATATATCAAAATAATCTACCTGAACAAATAAATAATTTAAAAAATAAATAATTTAAAATAAATAATTCTTTACTATTTTACTCTTTATTTTTGTTCATCTTTTCTAATGCAAATTTCAGATTTTAGATTTTAACACTGACATTGTTTGATTTTATATTTATTTACTCCAAACTGCATAAAGATTTATTTGTCCAATTAAAAAAAAAAAAAATCCATAAAAAATGTATATGCGTAATATTAACAAGTCAATTTGTTTCGGCAATTATTCAGGGATGAAAAATAATGGTAAATGAGTTTACAGTTCAAATTAGACTTTTATTAACAATGAAGAAATCATAAGAAATAAATCATGAGCACAACGTTTTGTATTGAAAAAATATATTTTTTATAAACAAGAATTCTGTGCACTACTTATACATTCCCACTATTATATGATATGAAAGTTGTTTTATGTCCACCCCATCTGCAAACGTTTAACCTTTGTTTGACCCCATCATATTGGTGGGGTTCATTGAGAGTTTGGATTCCTAATCCAGACCCTGCCTCCAAACTTGGTCTGTATATTTTTGAGTAAAGGTGACATCAAGGGAATTTCTAAAGGTCATGTTTAGCATTCTTTATTGGTTGCAAACCAGCTTCAGTTTGATATGATTCAATAAAAAAAATATTTTATTGATCTCAGGGGAAATTCAATTGTTGTCACTCTTATAATGTTTTGAGTTGTTGTAGGTATGATACCTATAGACAGGAAGCATCTCCTGTTTTGGTCTGTCTTAGAGCAGATCTGGAGAATTTGAACTAACAAACTCTGTTGTTGTTCAACTGTCTCCTGAAGACGATGCTCACCGTTGTGAAGAATTTACCTTATTTTACGAAATTTTATCTCGTGAAATAATCTCTAGAGGTTCTTGGGGAGTTTCCAGAGCTGAGTAAACATTCATTATCAGCTTGTTAAGCTTTGTTAGATATTTTTCTCTGATGCTGCTCTTTCTAGAAGATGATGGTAGATGGGGTCACGCTCTCCCTAACAGACCTACAGCAAAAAGAAATTGCAACAACAAAGGACCTTAGCTTCCTCAAAAAAAAAAACTTCTGTTCTGTCCCTTCTTATAGACAGCTTCTCAATAAGTCTCCAGTGGAGTACAGTAGCCAGGTATCTATACTACTTCACCACCTCCACTACCTCTCACATGATACTAATAGTGTTTTAATGGTCTCTCTGTTTCCTCTGAAATTCAAATTCATTTCCACTCCTTAATTCACATTTAGGGTAAGATTGTTTTGCACCAAGCCACAAAGCAGTCAACCTGCTCTCTGTTAGTCAGCTTCTTGTCCGTGTTTGATTCTTCCCTGGACTGCAGACTCATTCAGGTATTTCAGCAGATGACAAGAGTCTGTGTTGCACTAAAAGTCAGAGATGTACAGATTGAAAAGGAATGGTAACTATCCTCTGTGGTGCTCCTATGTGGTTGACTGTCTGGTTAGCCAGCTGACCCTTCAAGCCACACAAACTGCCGTCCCTTTATTAGGTAGTCTTTACTCAGGCAATTTTCCATGCCTCCGCCTGAAAGTTTTTGACTGAGTCAAGCTGACTTGTGTTAAATCTAGTGGATTAATCAAAGAAGGGGATCCTCATAGTGTGGTCTGCCTTTTCTAAATGAAAGTGGGTTTGTTGAAGCAGGTGCATGACAACATCCTCAACTTCAACTCCAAAAACTGCAGGGGGTACTGATAGCTGCTTGTTTGCTTACTTGCTTCCTAAGGTGGACCAACATAAGTCTCCTTTGGACCTTCATGATGTGGTTATCAGGGCAAACGGTTTGCAGTCATTGAGAGCCCTATGGGATTATTCTCCTGTTATCATGTCCAAAATCTAGTTCAATGCAGAAGTAGTCCTTCTTCATTATTCCTTCTTTTTTCACCCAAAGTACCAATAACACTGGCAGTGAAACAGGACCTTATCATGATGCCACCACACCATGCTAAACGATTCAGTGTTCCTAAAGGGTTGAAAGCCATGCATACATTCCTCCGAATAAAATTTCAGTCTCTGTTGGCAAATAGCTCAGTATTTGCTTCATGTCTTCCTCCAGATGCCATTTAGATTGTTCATTTGTCTGCCAGCTTTATTTGAGGTTGGAGTTCGTTTTTGGTGAACATCGTCTTTCAATAGAGCCTCGATATTTTCTGAGTTGTTACCAAAAAGAAAATATCAGCTGAAAATAAACACAATCGCTATAGTCATAAGTTAAGAAATAATCACTTATTAAGATATGTAAAATGAATGTATTTTATATGTTTATATATGTATTAATCTCAATACAGGATAGTTGAAATAATCCCCAACATATTTTTAAGTCATACAAATCAGTATTTAAAAACACATTTCCAGTTTTATATCAAAATTGAAGAAAAATTATTTTATTTGTGTTGGTAAGTTTATTTAGAAACCTTATGAGTAGTCAAAATATGAAAACATAATCCAATCTGAAGCTGGCAAAATTCCTCCTTGCAGGTCTCCACATTATAAATCTATATTTGTTCAAATATGTTTAGTACTTCTTAAAATTCAAAAGAAATACTCAGATTAGTATTAGTATTAAATACTGGATGGAAAAGCTTTTGTAGAAATTCACTAACGACGAAAGGAAAAGCCAGAGTCTTTGAACAGCATTCTCTTAAAATGTTGTTTGTTTGTTTTTCGTTTTGTTTTGTTTCATTTATTTTTTTTATTTTTTTTTTTGTTGTTGTTGTTTTTTATAAGAAAATGATAAAATAAAAAATAAAAAGCCCCACACAGAAACCAAAGGCGTTAAAATCTCTAGGAACACCATATCACATAAGACATTGCGAAAAATTCTATTTGCTTCTGCTGCTACTGACCAATCAACTGCCGGTCATCCTACTAGTCAGCCAATGGAAACTCTGTTGCTATCACTATTAGTATTTATAGTACAACTGTTCAAACATTTGTCTCTCCGCCGTACAAGATAGTGCCTAAAATTGTTATAATGTGTGTTCCATTGCTTACATTACATGCTATTCTTAATTTCCTAAAAAAAAAATAAAAAAAATCTAATAGCTTGTAGTATTTATTCTAATGTTGTTATGAAAACAATTTGGTGACATTATGACTGTAACGGATATTATGAAGCTGTTTGATAGATAAATATAAGTCAAGAAAGAGAAAAATAACGGCTATTGTATGATTTATGACGAGAGAAAAGTAGTCCCTGTCGTCACAGGGGTGTGGGCGACTCACAGTGTATAAATACGCCGGGTTGTCAAACAGTAAAGTTTCAGCGAGCACCTTCAGTTCAACGCGAAGTGTCACCGAAAGACAAAGTACGCCAAAAAATTACAGCTTCGGTGGCAAAGAAGGAAAACACAGAGTCTTATTTTTATGTAAACTTGGTAATTCTGCGAACTGACGCCTCCGCCGTAGATTTTTGTCATATAATATGAGGGAATTAATGTAGAGACCAGGGAGGACAGGTCAAGCCCCGGACATCATCACCACCATAACCGTTATCACGGCTAGGTGAGTAAATGTTCACCACCTTGTGTCTACATTTTGACACATTTCTCCTAGGTGCATCACACGATGTTGGGATGTACTGGTGTTTTTCCACAGCTTTGGTCCGTAAAGAGAGGTTGTGCTTGGCTCGGACATTGAATTGATCGTTTGTTTGTTTGTTTCCTCTTATTTTATGCATATTTCCAGTCAAACATCGAGTAAAAGAAGCCTTTTAACATCATGTTCTGCTGATGTTTCTTCGAGGGTGTTATGTCATTGGTCAGGTGCATCCTCCTTAGGCTGCTCAGCACTTCATTTGGTTTAAAAATTTATTTCCAATTGAATTCTGGAAAGGGAGAAAAAAGGGGAATCCTCCAGTTGTGCTGGCAGCTAAGTGTACTCTCTGTTCCAGTAGTCTGTCACTAATCTCTCTATCTCAGTCCATGCAAACCTTTATGATAACACTTGTCGTTCATTCTTCTGTTTGCATTTTTGTCTACGCTTTGCTTTATCATTTTACATGCAGATCAGGTAAAAAAAAAAAAGGTGCAGGATTGTTATACAACCTGCTATAATGCTGGGAGGAAACGGGACAAATCCAGATTTTTAAAGGAAAGTTTCTATTATGCAACTGCTGCCTTCCAATAAAATCCTTTTAGAAGGTTATATTCTTGCACTTAATGTAATGTATATGATCTGCAGACTGTGTTTTAACTTGACTCCTGGTAGAAAACACTGCCCCTTAATGAGTCCATGTAAACAAACGCAACACCTCTGATCTTGATTAGACTAGCAACAGCAAAGCCTGCAACAATAAAGATCAGCAGAAATTGCTAGCTGTTTTGATTTGGATCTGCACATGTGGTTGTATCAATTGAGGTGCAAAAAAAGGCATCAGTAAGGCAAATGCTGGATCCTTCCTGTCAATTACACTAACTGGTTTCAGCGAAGCATCTCAAAATGAGTTTTTGTTCCACAGATGATGCAAAAAAGGTGAGCCCCAGCTTTTATGCAGCCCTGATCCTTAGCTTTTTTTCCCTTCAAAGTCAGGTGAAAGGGGAGTTTACATTTTTCTCTACAGACCATTTGCTCCTGCAGCCTTGTGGCCAGCCTGTGCAGCTTTATCTCTAATAACATTAGAACTGTCTTTAATCTGAGCCGCCTTTCTAATCTTAACCGCTGAATCCCCATCTGTCAGGGAGGTAAATGTGAGGAACTGCTGTATGTTTGCCTTCATCCAGGTTTGGGAGGGAGAAGGAAGGAAGGAAGGAAGGAAGGAAGGAAGGAAGGAAGGAAGGAAGGAAGGAAGGAAGGAAGGAAGGAAGGAAGGAAGGAAGGAAGGAAGGAAGGAAGGCAGGCAGGCAGGCAGGCAGGCAGGCAGGCTGGCTGGCTGGCTGGCTGGCTGGCGTGCAGGCTGGCTGGCGTGCAGGCTGGCTGGCGTGCAGGCTGGCTGGCGTGCAGGCTGGCGTGCAGGCTGGCGTGCAGGCTGGCTGGCGTGCAGGCTGGGAACTTGTGTTTGCATCCAGTATATGTCGTGCCATTTTCTGTTTTCAATCCAACAGTTCCCGCTTTGGCTCTGCTTCAGAGTTTGTTTTTTATTTTTCATGCAGGCCTTTATTTCGGCTGGTACTCCAATCCTGATGAATGGACTCTGAAGCATTAAGATACAAGCACTTTATGGGATCACGTTCAGATTATGCAGGATTTATGAAGCCCGACAGGGCAGCATCTGTTACATCCATGAACATGACTTGCATTCGATGGGCTTGAAATGTAAAATCGTCCATTTAGAGCTGCTGATTCAGTAAAGGAGTCGTGTTTATCTCTAGAACTTCAAGCATCGAGTTAATAATTAATCATTGATATAAGTAAACATGGATACGCATTTACTGCTGGAATCTGTATCAGATTTCACTTTTTTTTTTTTTTTTTTTTAGCCTCTTCTGACCTTAGTGAGTCTGATAATGTCTTCTAATAGCACAGGGTCACCAAGATCACAGCAGGTAACATGGACATGAAGGTAGACCCTTTAAAGGGACATTCTTTACAAGAATGTAAAGCCCATGTTGATTTAAACTGGTTGCTTTCCTAACATCGACCCAAAGACATTTAGCATGGTCTATACATTTTCTAGCTGAGGTTATGGGTTTTCCAGATGCTGTCTCATCCATCAAAACCAGTTTTAATGTGCGTTTAGGATCATTGTCCTGGAACAAGGCTTCAACAACCTGACTCAAAACGTCACCCTTATATATAGAGGGAAGTTCAAAGAACTAGTCAATCTTTAACTGGAAGATGCTGGAACACCAATGTTGCCATCCATAGGAAAGTCTTTAACATGAACGCTAACCATCCAAAAAAAAGAAGTATCGGTTTCAACCAAAGTTTTTCTCTTAGAATTTTTAGTCTGAGGAGGTGAATATTCAGTCTAGATGACGCTTTTAAATTTTAGAACACTCAACCAGCTGTTGAGCATGATGAGGCAAGCATCAGCTGCCTATAGATCAGTTATCCTGATTCCAGACCAGACTAAAGCGCAGAGGTGATGGGTCTTTAATTATTCTGAAATTACGGAACCAGTTCATGTTCTATAAAACTTTCAGCTGGTTTGTTTTTGCTTTTATTCTAATCCTACCAATCTTTTACATGGCATTTTATTCTGATTTTATTTCTTGATTTGTGCTGATTTGTTACAGTATAGTTCATTGGCTAAACAAATTGGTATGTTTTTTCTAAATGTAGTTTATTAATAAAAATGGATTAGGAAAAGGAAAATGACATCAAAATACTTGAAAGAACAGTAACTTGGCTAGAATTTGGTTTTCATACAATACTGTCAAGAACACGCATCAAAACTATTTTTCAAATAGTGAATTATAATATTAAAGGTATAGTGGAGGATGTTCTTTTTCCGGGTGGATCATCAAAATAATTGGTCCTCCTAATTGTCAATCATTTTGGTGATATGTTCACGCAAAGCCTTCCTACGTCCACTATACCTTTAAAGTACTGGAACATCCTGACCTCAACGCGATATGAAAAGTTTGAACTGTGTTTTTTTTTTTTTTTTTCCCCAAGCTCCTGTACAGGTTGTATGGATATATTTGAGTAATTATGGATCATGTTAAATATGGAGGGGTTGGAGAAAGAAATCAAAAGAGCTAAATTCTAGTTCTGTGGTTTCTGGGAAACCATTTACACGGATTAAGTCTATGACTTGTTTTTTATACCTGGCCATGATGGCTACTTATAATTCCTAACAGAGCTGTAGGGTTGTGATTGTTTGAGACATTAGAGTAACCGTGTTCTCTTGTCTTCACAGCTGGAACATCCAGAGAACCTAAAAACATTCCCTGCCTTTGAGATGCCGATGCGAATATGACTCCAAAAGATTCAACGACTTTTCTTTAAGCCAGAGGTACGAACTGCCTCCCTCTTATCAGCATCCTATAACAATCAGATCCCACCACGACCCTAACCCGATGCAGCCATGCATCTAGAGGTCAAGGTCGCCCTCAACTTTATTGTGTCCTACCTGTACAACAAGCTGCCTCGCCGTCGAGCTGACCTGTTTGGTGAGGAGTTGGAGAAGATACTGATGTCCCGCTTTGAGGGCCACTGGTATCCTGATGCGCCCCTCAGGGGATCGGCTTTCCGCTGCATACACTTGGGGGCGCTGCGTGACCCTGTAGTGGAGCTGGCTGCCAAAAGAAGCGGACTAGATACGGAGGAGGTGCGTTCTAACGTCCCTGCTGAGCTCAGCGTCTGGATCGACCCATACGAGGTGTCCTACCAGATTGGAGAGAAGGGGACGGTAAAGGTGCTTTACCTAGAAGACCCCCCAGGCCTCGGATGCGACGGTGACAGGGCTGAGGCGGGGAATGGGGAAGGAAAAGGAGAGTCTGAAGCTGAGGAGGCAAAGAGTTTGGGATTTAATCCAGATGCTCAGGTGTTTGTGCCAATTGGAAATCAAGCATCTCCGGCACTCATGCCATCCCTCTCAAGCTCGCCCACAGCTTTGTCAGCTCAGCCTGGACTCTTTAGCTACCCCAGCTCCAGCACTCCTACTGACCCTGGGGCCAATTCCTCCAACACTTCCACCCCTTCCCCTCCCAGCGGCGTGTTACCCTACCTCCCCACTCAGCAGGCCCCCTCAGCGCTCCCTCCAGCCCGTCCACAACCCATCACCTTCACCACAGCAAGCTTTGCCGCTACCAAGTTCGGCTCCACCAAAATGAAGAAGTGCAGCGGCACCGGGTCACCAGCCAGCTCCGGTGTCATTGTGCCGCCTTCGCAAAGGATGCTCTCCCGCTCTCCCACCAACATCCCGGCACCGGAGCTGCTAAAGCACAAGCCCCTGTCGTTGTCTCTGCACTCCCTCGGAGGTCAGATCCCCAGCCAGCTCTCCCCCAGCGCCAAAGAGTTCGTCTACCCAGGATCGCCGGGCCCCTTTTACTTTGAGGCCGACACCCAGCCCATGCAGCCTCAGGCCAGCCCTTTCCAACCCTCGCACAACATCAGCTCCAACCCAGCTTTTGATGCGTTCGCCAGCCCTTCTGCCCAAAACGTGGGCATCCTCAGCAGCGGCGCAGGAATCCCTTACGTGGAGAAACCAGCGTTTGACGGTTTAGGAAGTTACAACCTGCAATATCCAAGCCAGTCTTTCCAGCCCGTCGTGCTGGCCAACTAACTAACCCTTTGTTTGGATTACCAGTCGAGGCAGAGTTTGGTGAATCTACACGTCTTTGGTTTTCCTTCAAAACATAATGTTGACTTCATCAAAAGTGGGTTTTGCTACAGAGATTAGAGAAATAAACATGTCCACTAACCATTTTATGCTTTGTATCTCCCTTTTCACTCCTCCTGGAACCATTCGTGTTCCTTCACTTTGCATTGATAGATATCGATGGTTAGGTGGCGAGATTCTTTCTGCACCCAGTTCTATTCAGACATGAAACATTTATTTTCTACTCCTTGTGACGGACCCGTCTCTAGAGCAGCTCCATTTTGCACTGCACTGTCATGCTGTGAAAAAAGGACTTTGCCAAGTCCTGCAGGGAACGACTGCTGTGGAAAACTCAGCACTTTGCTCGCAATCTGCTCTGCCCTACTTGCCACAAATACACAGGAGAAGGGGGGTGTTGTTTTGCTGTCTGTGTGTCGTCCTGCCCCGTTTTGTTATGGTTCGATCGAGGGAACGGTTGTTTGTCTCAGTTATTGGGTGCATGTATATCGAAAGCTTGTTATCAGTCGCTGGTACGCCTGTGTGAGCGGGAATGAATGATGGGCAGGCAGAGGGAGAGAGAGCGGCGTTGGAGAATGTATTTTATCTGCTGGAGGGAAGCTCTGAATGTGAAAGACAGCTGAATTAGAAGGTGAACTAAATGTTACCTCTTTGTTTAAAGGGAAAAAAACACAAGGAAGTGTGCAGACACAGTTGCACCATATGCATCGATGTGCACGATATTCCAGTCAGCAGTGTGTGAAGGTGAACGGGTGAGGGGCGGGTGGGGGTGCAGCAGCTAAGCAGTAGGGATTGTGATAAATGGCTTAGCATGACTTTGACTATGAAGGAGAGGTTTTTCTTTGCACGGAAGAAGAGGGAGGGAGACCGTAGAGAAACTTCTAGATGCGCGTTAGTCGCCAGGGTGCACTGGCTCAGGGAAGCGTCGAGTTGAAACCCAGAGCACGTTTGTGGTGAACTAAAAACACTACACCATTCTCTTCTCTCCTCCTTGAAATTCTCCTGCTGTCTCCATTTTTTTTTCTCAAGCTGTTGCAAGAAAAAGGAAAGCCGACCGTACAGTCCAGGGTGCTCAGTTCCTCCCCAGCTGCAGTGAAGTGTGTTGCACGGCTTTGTCAGAGAGGGCGTCAGATATGCGACTCTCCTGGCATTGTGTGTTGTCATCGGTTACCGCAGGGAAAGGTTAACCTTCGCATGTCACAGTAGTTCAGCACTTTATCACCGGGTCTCCTGTTGTCACTTCAGCCGTCAGCACTAAACCTGCCTTTCAGCTTCTGCTTGGTTGTTGCACATTTTTATTCAGAAGACATTAGATGGGTTGAAGGATAATATTAGCCTAAACTACTTTTTTTTTTTTTTTGCATTAGAAAAGGATAAGGTGAACCCATTTGACCTCCCTCTTAACAGTGTTTTTCTTGGGGTGCAGCCATCTTTTTTTTTTTTTTTTTTTTTCATATTTCTGATGAAGTTGGCATAAGGACCCCTCTTTTTTTTTCTTTTTTTTTACTTTATCATCCTCATTCAGTATTTTTTTTTTTTTTTTTGTTATTTGTAATTTAATTTTTTCATATTAACCCTGTCCGCTTCTATTGGTTAGGGATTGTGACTGCAGGATTGTGTGTAAATATATAAAGTTCTCATGTTCAAATTCTTTAGTTTTGTACCTACTGAATTTTCCTTTTTATAATTTCTTTTCAAAAAAAAGTATGAATATATGCAAACTGAGACAAAAATAAAGATGTACAGAATAAAGTATTGAATGTGAATTGTACCTTGTACAGTATTTGTCTCGTATAAGACGGGTAAATGTATTCTCTTCTTGGGTTTGGCTTTTAGGAAGTGACCGTTTACAGTGGGTGAGGGGGGGCTGCAGACAGAAATATTACAGATATGACTCTCTGTGCCCCTGAGGTAGATGATACAACAATTGAAAGAAAACCAAAAATCTGGACAGCTGAGGTTTATTTTTGAAGGATTGTAACTTTTCTTTTCCCCCTTTTTTTTTTTTTTTTATCTATTTTACTCCCTTAAAGCTACAGTGTGTAATAATTACAGGGATATACAGTCAGAAATGTAATATATTATACATAACTATGTTATTTATCATCATCTACGAGCTCAGCCTCTTAACCTTAATATTTGCGTTGCCTTAGAATTCGTTATTTATAATTACATAGGAGCGGGTCTCGCAGCCATGGAGGCAGACATCTTTGCGCTACGGCAGCGCAGAGCCAACAAACTAGCGATTGCGAGATCGCCAAAACGTCACAACGATGTAGAAAAAATAACGGGTATATTTATTATCTTAAAGGGATAGTTCGGGATTTTTGACATGAATTTGTATGGCATCCCCATCACCAGTGTCATGCAATCACACTGACTTACCCCTGGCAGCATCCTTTGGTCAAGCCGAAAGTAGTCCGGCAGGTTTGCTAGACCCAGCGAAATAAAACGTTTCTCTTCCCAAAACATGTGGTCAAAAGAGTGATATTTTTGCATCCCAAAAACATTGTAGTGGAAAAAGTCACACGTCGTTATCACTTGGTCCTATTTTCTCTCTGTTCGTATCAGTGCGCGCCGTCATTCTGACAGCGAGCTCAACAACAGCCAGATGCATGTCTCGCTCAGCTAGGCGGAGCGAGGCATGCATCTGGCTGTTGTCAGGTTAGTAGGCCCTAGCTGTCAGGTCATGGTGTCGCGCGCACTGATACGAACAGAGAGAAAATGGGACCAAGTGATAACGACGTGTGACTTTTTCCACTACAATGTTTTTGGGATGCAAAAATATCGCTCTTTTGAACACATGTTTTGGGAAGAGAAACGTTTTATTTCGCTGGGTCTAGCAAACCTGCCGGACTACTTTCGGCTTGACCAAAGCTGGACGAGAACTCTGCTCACAGGATGCTGCCAGGGGTAAGTCAGTGTGATTGCATGACACTGGTGATGGGGATGCCATACAGATTCATGTCAAAAATCCCGAACTATCCCTTTAAGTCTACATGAAATCTATACCCTACACAGACTAATGAAATACTATCTGTAAAATTATCTATGTAAACAAACCTCATCACTTGAGAAGGTAGGTGATGAGGACTCGTGGAAGACATTTTGTCCCGTAACGCTCCCCGTACTATTGGGGGGAAGAAGCGGTGGGGGGGGGGGGGGGGGGGGGTGTTCATGTTGCTGCAGTATGACCGCTAGATGTCGCTAAAAGTTACACACTGTAGCTTTAAGCTCAACTTCTTTTTTTTTTTTTTTTTTTTGTCCATTTGCATGTTTTTTAAATTTTTGTACCCAGGCGTACAGCAGCTTGGAGGATAAATCTTACCCTTTAGCCATTCTTTAGCTATTTCATCTTTTCTCATTTTACAGCTACAAACTTTATTGTCTTTTATTGGGGACAGACTAAAACAATGCATTTATATTTTTTTTCCAAATTCTGAAAAATTAAGACCACCTCCGATTTTTTTATTTATTTTTTTATTTATTTTTGGATCTATCAGTTTTTCTCATTAAGTTCCCCACAGCATGATGCTTCCACCACCATGTTTCACCATGAGGATGGTGTGAAAAGGGAGCAATGCATATTTTAATCTCTTCTAAACATAGTCTGCTTCATTAAATCCCCCAAAATTCAATGAGGTTTTTATTAAAGTGACAAAAAGTTAAAAGGGGTTATTGACTCTACTGGAGACCACTGCATTTATTATGAGTAAATGCTGTGCTTGGACAGGACTTATTTTACTAGATCTGAACATCTTTATTGTTCTCTGCTCGCTCAGCCAGGACCTTTTTCAGGTTCTCAAACTAAAGCCATATTCCCTGCTCCTCTCTGCTCACACTGATCGTCCTTCAGCACTGTAGCCTGATGCCATAATTTTTACACGCCCTTTAAGATTCATGGGCTCCCTACCTCTCTGCTCCCTAGAAAACAAACCCCAGTAATCGCTTTCAGTAGAAAGATGCAGTTAAAGATGTTGGAGGATGGAGGAAGTAAAATGTAGGATGAATGTGGTCCAGATCTGATCATCTACCCTGGTTTTAGCAGCCTGGTTTTAGCAGCATCTATGACAAAACAAATTTAACCTATGGGTTTTATTCCCTTTACTATTTATTTTTGGTATGGGGAGTTCTAAGCTGATGTTTAAATGCAGGCTGCTCTAAAAGCAGGGTTGGTGATTAACAAAGATGGATGAGAATATTTTTTTCTATTCTGATGTCCTTTGCTTGTACCACTGTGTGCAGTTTATTTTGCACCTGGGACTATTTAATTGTGATAAAAGAATCTTATTTTCTAAGTCAACTTTAACATGTAAAAGTAAAAAAATATATATATAGATTAAGAAGTGATGTATAAATAGTGCTGTTTCCTCCCTGAACTGGATCATTTCTTTTCTCTTTTGTATCTGATCTGTACACCCTGTAGATGTCCGATGAACCTTTCACTACCGAAATGCAATGACCTGTTTTCTGTGCCGCCCCTCGGGAAGCGGGGAGTTACTACTGCAGTTTCTTATTGTATCAGATTCCTTTTTTTAAGTTTATAATAAAAAAAGCAGACTGGCAATAAAAAGAAGCATGGAAACGAATGCCCCCCCCCCCTCTTGTCCTTTCTGTTGTTTTTGATCAGATGTTATTTAAAGGCTGATTCCTGGGAAAAGCTGATGATTGATTGAAGCGGCAGTGGAACGAGTCTTTTATATTGCAGTAAACAAATTCAAGCCATGTTTGATCAATAATTCAAAGCAAAAATGGGATTCTTAGATGGTGAGCAGCCAGATTGCTCACCACCCACATCAGCTGGACTCATCCCAGCAGATATTACTTTACATTTCATCAGCCTGCTCTCTGATAGTCAGCCTGTCTCCTATCACCGTCTCTGCAAAACCATCCAAACAACTGCCTCCTTTTGAGGGATGGGGGGGGCTTGCAGCATGTACTGGTATGACATTAACATGCAAGACAAGGCTTCTCTGTTTCTTTGTCTTTCCTTTTTTCCCTTCTGATTCTTCTTGTTTTCCCTCCAATAATTTCTTCCCCCCAATCATCTCCTTCATCCTCCACAGACACACACCCATCCCGCCCGTCTTTTAGGCTGCTGGTGTTATGCAACACAGCTCCACCGTGTGTTGATGTGATCATTACGCAACATCTCCTACTCTTCTGGAATACTGATGAGCTGCAGCCCTGAAACGAGAAGAAAGGGGGAAAAACAGTTGCCTGACGGATGAAAGGAGATTTTTTTTTTTGTATGTGCGTGCAGGTACCTGCTCAGCACAGTCGCGATCTGCTGATCAAGGTTTAAAGATGTAGCCTTCATACTCTTGACAAAAGCATACTCATACCAAAAGCTTCATACTCTTTTTAAAGGCAAAAATAGTTCTGTTCTCATTGTAGATATGTGCAAACTTTTTTCAATGTTTTACAGTTTTGGTATTTCCATTAAATAAGAAATGCGGTTTAAATTTTCACATGAGTACGTTTATTAAAATGATAACTCTTGAAAACAACATGGCAGCTGACGTGTACACTTCAGATATATATCCATGTTTTAGCCCCAACTCTAATAATAAAAAAATATTCAGTCTGCCCATGGATCCAAATATACAGCGTCATCAACCTGCAGCTAATTTTGGTATTCATCTTTATTAGGCAGTTGGTTCCAGCGGC